TCTTTTCACTTTTATCTCACGCTAACGTGAAGGAGTTGCTCACACTAACAAACACCCCCATAATGAGTTAGATAGAATACTTAGCCAGCTGATTGCTAAGCGTGTGTATGTGTGTGTGTGTATTTTTATGACACTATTTTGTAATGAGCACTCTAAATAATTTGCCATGATCTTCGGCGCATAACCGACTGCATTGACAGCCACGCCCACAAATCGCAAACACATAAAGGAACACCACGATCACCTCCGTAACCAATGTGTGATGGTAGTGATGTGGCTCTAGCCGTGGCGGCGTCGTCAGCATCGTCGGCGATGTCGGCGTTGGTGGTAAGAAGCTAACACATGGGAACACCCGCACGCTTCATGCGCGATTTGAGCGCGGCACTTTTGAGAGTCAACCAACCAACCAACTCGTTTGCTGTGCTGTTTGCTCGCGCCCGCCGCTTGTTACGCTAACTATCACATTGTCAGAGACAAGTGGACGGACAAACGTGAGATCGTGTTATGGAAAAAAAATTAAGAAAGCTATAAAAATAAATAGTGTTGTCGACTAATCTTCTAAGTCTGCATGTGCATATGTCAGTTTATTTATGAATCTGGTTCGCGTGTATGTGATTTTTTTCTGTGCCTTTTGGAGCTACACTTTGTGTAGCACACTGTAAGTGGATACTCAATTAAATTTAACGTCTCGGTTAGTGGATATTTAACATTGGTTTATTTGGTTTATTTCACTCTTTTGCATACGACATGTGACAGCTCTTTGACATTTGTCGCTATTATGTAATGAAACCGTTGTAACAGCTGTCAACTACTGTGCGTAGATTGGATTTTATGACATGGTGATTTGAAGTGTAATGGAACTGTCGCAATGAATTTAGATCAAAAAAGGTAAATGGCGATGGCTAGCAATTGGTTCAGTGTGAGAAAAATGTGAGATAAATTTCGAAAAATAGTGTCGAGTACGACATTTTGCTAAGAGTATACTCGCTGGTTTTCAAGTCGGCGCGTCAGTTTCCTCTCTGTTACAAGTCATAGCCCTTAATCTGTCAAACAATTGAGAGTTTGGACTCAAACGTGATAAATCCCTAAAGCTTTACTTAGGCTTCGATTTATTTCTCTGTTTGAATTGGCATGATAGATAGATTGCTGTAGACCAAGAGATCTATTGTGCCCTCAACCATTCATAGTACCTCATCCAACCCTAGAAATTCCAGAAATTTTAAGAGATCTACAGGGGTTAGCGATTGTATGAATTTAACACTTGGTTAGAGTTGGCCTACGTACCTCTCCCGTCTCCTTGCAATCGTATCGCACTAGTGAATCAGGTGTAAAGGACTCTTCTCGATCGATTCACAGAAACGAAATAGGTCGTTTGACCTGATCCCTAATTTGTGCAGGTAACCTCTAAGTACACTGTGCACGTTGCAGGTTTATTATTTCCCTGTAGCTTGTAAGGTGGTAACCTCCCAATAAGTATTTAGCCTGGCGTAGACCTACGATGTTACGCCAGTATCGTTCTCTGAGCCTTTTCCTCTCCTTCATGAGCTCAGTCCCAATAGAATACGAGGCGGCCGCCGTTCTGGCTAGATGATCAATTAGTTGGATAACATTGTGCTCCGCCAGGACTTTAAGCCTATCGATAGACTCACGAGCCAAAAGGAACTTGACCATAAATGATGTGAGGGCCTTGAATGCAGCCTGACTATCAATTGTCTTTAATCTGCCATAAATATGAGCGATACTTAGTCGGTAAAAAGATCTTGCAGTTTGCTACCCGGTGTCTTCTGAGAAGAACTCTCCATCAACCTAAAGTATATGCTACCAGATCATTGTGGCGTTTCCACGCAGCGGTACCTGCAATACAAGAGGCCTAGGATTGTGATTATCTACTCCGATAGCCAAGTAGCTATCAAAACTCTTGGATCCTTGATTGTTAGTTCGAGAACGATGAAGAATCATTTTGCTTCCGTATCGACCACATCGAATTATACGCGATTAGGCTCAATTGAATTCCGGATCATGTGGCAAGACAGGGAACTCTACAGGAAGTGCACCCGGAAAGCCTGGGTGATCCCCTGATCTAGGAAGATGGGCATTTAGTCAACTCAGCGAGCGATGGGCGAAGACCTTGGTGTGCAAAATGGCTGAATATTTTTGGCCAAGGCTTAAAATTGAGTCACAATGAACTTTTTAGTAAATTCTAACAATTTTCTAGTTCGTAGGTTTGGCTGCCTTTTGATCTATAATGAAGAGAGTCAAACGGTATCAAGGTAGCAGAGTCGTGGTCTTCCGAAATCTGGACAGTGATGCGCGAGATGTTAAAGTTTTCAACACAAATTTCGCTTTCGATGTCATTGCCATGTCTTATTCTATCCTAAGATGGTAGAGGAAGGGATAGGCGCCTGACATGATTTTTAGTGGTAAATTTACTCATGTTTTAACAAAGAAATCAGCTCGCACGCCGCAGTATTCCGAGAGCTTATATAGCTTTGCAAGCTCCGAACAATAGACATACATACATGCATCAATTTCCACGTCATCAATCATTTTAGATACGCTCGTAAAGAAATTATAGCTATTACGATTGGATCCAAGTCCTTTCTTGTATCCTTTTTTACATTACAATGGCGTATGCATCCTTTTTGAAGCTAACTAATAGAGGTACGCTTTACGTAATTCTTTTCAACTGATTTCATTTTCTCGTTCTCTAAATTAAGCTCCCGTACTATGACTCGGTTAGTTTGAGAGCGCAGCCTCTAGCCAATGACGTACACCATGAAGCATCTGCAGGACAGAAACATTAGGAAGAGTCCGCAAGTATCTTTCCGTCCCCTTACTACCATTGGTTTGTCATTATCTGTTAGGTTGTGCAGCTATGGTCCATACGTGACGCCTCACGATGGATGATGGATCTATTGAATTTTCAAAAAATACCCCCTGCCTAATGTACTTAGTAGTATACGACGACCAGTTAGAGTTTTTACCTCACTTGCGACCATATAAAATCTCAAGAAAGCTTTAAAAGCTGCTTTATCCTATAAAAAGCTTAAAAAGCTATGTTCGCGATCTAAATTGTGTTCATGGCTGCTCTATATCAGTAATCAGTGCGTGACTATTTATAGAAAGCTTAAAAAGCCCTGGCTATGTGCTACACCTTGGTTGTGGCCACCGCTCAACATATGCTCAATTTAATGCTGTTGACTTATGTTGTGCTAGAGCTTTCCAAAAACTTATTTTAAACCTTCCAAATCACTGCCTTTGTAGATCCAGTAAAACCGGTACAATCTCCTTATCAATAAAGCAGCGTAGCTTTCACGCAAAATATTTTTAGGCTTTCTATGGATTTTAGAATTTCATCTTAATTGTATAGGGATGAAATCAAGGATTGTCCAAATGAAGGCACGCGTATAGAGCCTTCATCAGTTTTTTACACATTCAATTGTCCACATTCAATATCAATGTTTGCCAGAGAGAGCTTTTACCTTGAGCCAGGGAAAGCTAAAATATCCCCTAACAGGCTAACCAAATAAAGAGCGTTTACTCTACGCCTGTCTAAATAAAATGTGGACAACTTAAAAAAAACTCTACGCGAGTGGCTTTAAAGCGGTAATGGGTAGAGAGGGCTTTTGCTCTGCACGCGCCTAAACAAAATGTATAGAAAGCTTACAAGAGCTTTGCCCGCAGGAAAGCCGGAGCTCATCACCGCTTTAAAGTGGTTAGAGGGAGCTTTTATCCTACGCCCGTTTTTATATTGAAAAAAACTTAAAAAAGCGTATAAATAAGTGAATTTTCAGTAGTCACAGGGAGCTTTTATCAAATCGGCCCTTTTATACTGTGAATAACTTAGAAAAGCTTAGCATTGAGGTCGCCAACTCTATTTTATATAGACGAGCAAAATTAGTAAAAATTAACTTGTAATGAACTCTCTAACCAAATCGTTTAACCAAAGCTCCCCCACTCGTGAGTATGCAGTTTGTTACACACCATGCCAGCCTCCTTTTGTCATGGACGCCAAGTTAACAAGCGCTAATTAGTTGAACGATATGCCTCCTCGAACTGCTGAGGTTAAGAATTAGACAATTGGCGGCTAGTTCTTTTGACAGATTTGTGACGCTTTTTGACGTTCGAATTAAAATGCAATGGAGCATTAATTGTCTGCACACCCAGTCAATGAGGCGGGCGAAGGCTGCTGCCACGCGGCTAGTTGAGCAGCAATTTTTTCCCACTGGTTTTTTGGCTTCTTTAATATGCTTAGCCATGCAGCCGCGACGCTGAGGATCGCTGCGGTTGGTTGAAGGCACCGCGCAGAGGCGTGGATACGAATGCTTGTAGGGAGAAAGGCAGTCATATCTATTCGTATTGAAATGAATTTTTTACCGAAAAGAATCATAAGCAGGTTCATATTTTTTAGATTTAGTGCGGTTGTATGCTTTCATTTGTTCGCCGGCTCAATTCTTTGGTGGCCATATCGTTATTTTACTTGATTTGTCGCAACTTAATTTGCCCCAATTGAATTACTCTCTCTCTATTCTGCTTCCTTCATTTACAAAATTTATTTGAGACTTTACATACTTATGTTCGGGTGTGAAACTCTATTAGTTTTTACGAGGTGTGAATAATTTTGGGTTATATTTCAATGAATCAGCGCTGCGATTGGATGCGGGAGCGCTGAATATGAATGCTTCCCAAGAAGGGAATAGTATGGACAGATGTGAGGCGTAAAAGGAATTCAGAGCACCGATCATGCAGCGATCTTCAAAGAAAAGGTCGAAGATCGTCACCTGTGCTTAGGCGTGATACGTTTCTGCTTCCTTTTTGCTTACTTTCTCATTCCCCAAACTATTAAAGATACACATCTGTTGTCAAGAGCGTATACAAGTTACACTTAAAGGCGTCACGGAAATATAGAGAAAATAGATATTTAATAATTTTTCTATTTCCCTTCAGTTTTTAAAACGCAACATCAAAATATTAACCTCAACATTTCAATTTCCTTTCAGATCGCAACTCCGACATCAGCGATACCGAATCGGAGCCTGGCATACCGCTGAAACGTAAGCAGCGGCGCTCGCGCACCACCTTCACCGCAGAGCAATTGGAGGCGCTCGAGCGTGCTTTCACGCGCACTCAGTATCCGGATGTCTATACACGCGAAGAACTCGCACAGACCACTGGTCTTACGGAGGCACGCATACAAGTGTGGTTCTCGAATCGGCGCGCCCGTTTACGCAAACATTCTGGCGGTTCCAGCACCGGGCTCTCGCCCATGAATGGCGGCGGTAGTGGCGTAGCTGGAATGCCAGGTAGCGCGATGGGAGCAGGTGCCGCTGCAACAGCGCCGCTAGGCTTTGGTTCATTGGCCGCAGTGGGCTCAATGGCTGGCTATAGTCCGGCTGCTGCGAGTACGGCCAGCGCTGGCATGAATGACAATCACGCTGCGCATGCAGCTGCAGCCGCTGCAGCAGCGGCCGCACATCATCCACATCATCATGCGCAGATGGGAAGCTACGATTTGGTGGCGCAGTCGGCGCAACACGGCTTTGCTAGTAGTTTTCAGCATGGACACTTTACCGGGCAGAATTACTATCATCAAGGTGAGTGTGGCGCAGCAGTTTTTAATTTCCGTTTGTATGTTTTTATATGTATGTTTACATACTTTTTCGCTCTCTCTTTTTAGATTACTCCAAGCTCACAATCGATGACTTCTCTAAGCTGACTCCAGAAAGCGTTTCGAAAATTTCTCCATCCCTCTCACATCTCACCGGCGAAAACTATTCAAAGCTTGAGCCTACCACGAATTGGTCGCAGGCCGCTTACCATCTCAATCAATCGGCGGCAGTAGCGGCCAATTATAATGCCGCCGCTCATCATGCTCATGCCGCTGCGGCACAACATACGCTGAACGATTATGTGGCGGCTGGCGCAGTTGCGGCGGCACACAATAATCAATTGAATAGTGCAGCAGCGGCTGCCGCGGCGGCTTACAATCATCCGCTACCGGCGCAAGGTCAAGCGAAGTACTGGCAATAATTTTGGTGCTGTGGTATAGTATTTGAATAAGTATCTAGCAAGTACAGGTAGATAGAATACCAGGGCAGTGAGAAAAAATTAAAATAAAATAAAAAATTTAAATAAAATGGCGGGAGGTAATAAAAAGTTCTCTCTCTCTCTCTCTCAATCGCGAAGCAGGTGTACAAATGCTATTATTAGCCCCTTCAACGAGAGAAAAAAAGCTATGAAAGCTGTCTTCTGAAACATTTGAGACTCCGAGGGGTAACTAGAAAACTGTACCTTAATATTTTTCCGACTTTTCTGAAAGGTATGCATTCAGCCGTCTGTAACTTCAATTGGTACAACTTTAGATACATTCTACCACCACTGAGTTAGACCAAGGTTGGATTCCTGGTACCCGCTCTTATATAATCCATTTGCCGTTCGATTGGGGCGTCAAACTGTAGGTACAAATTAAAATAGAAGCTTGGCCTTGCATTAAGCAAATCTTTCCATAGTCCGATTCAAAAAAAATTTCATATAAGCTTAAAGCTTTGAAGCACACTTAGTCCTGCGGCCTTTTGTGCAGGATTATTTGCTAACAGCAATGTTGGTTAGAGAGAGCTTTCGTTTCGTCCAAGCCGTATATAAGTTGTACAGAGAGCTTTCAAAAGCTTGAAATTGAGGCCAATGAAGTGGTCGACAATATTTTAAAACGTTCATTTGAGTATGAGTGACAATCAGAGGGAGATTTTACACTGTGCTTGCCCATTTAAAGTTCATAAAAAGCTTTTACCGCAGGGTATACTCTCGTCATGACCGATTCACGTACAATTAATGCAAGTACGAAAGTGGGGCTTTATAGTTTTTTTCTAAAGCCTTAATAAATACAGATTAGAAACTCAGAACTCATCGTACACTGATTACTTACACTTGAGTTTAAGCTTTTAAACCAGAGTTGGCCACTTAATGGGCGTCCTTTTTGAGCTTTTTAAAGCTTTGGGGCAATTGAAGCTTACGCTCAATATTTGTATGAATTTAAAATACAGCCGCCTTGAAGATTAATTTAAAGTCTCAAAACTTTTGGCGAATTACCCCAAACTGTTCGATGTAACGTTTAAAATTTCTTGAAAGGTATTTTCTGAGCTGACCAACCCTCCGATCTCAAGTATGCACATACTCATATCAAAGCTATTAATATTCAGACTCTCCTCTTACTTACATATAGCTAAATGGATACAAAAAGCTTTCGTAGGAGCTTTAGCAAAAATCAATCTAAAATTTTAAGTAATTCACATTTTATTTGAAAAATAACCCGGGTATAACACTGGAAAAAAGTGATAAACTGGAGCTTTATTTACAAAATTTTTTGGGAAGTTTTTCTAGGGAACTTTTCCTATTACTGATTTTTTGCGGTTAGGCTAGAAGTTCAGCATTCATCTCTTACCAGCTGATTAAATTAAATATTCAGCGATCGAAGGTGTATAACAGTGACGCTGGGAGAGAGTTTTTATCCTGCGCACATCCATACAAAACTTATAGAACACTTAAAAAGCTGCTTAAGAACTTTGCACCAGTGATGAGCAGAGAGATTTATGCAAAGCTTTCTTTAAATTCCTGTACATTTATGTGAGCCTAGCACACATACTAGCTACACTGTTGTAAAGTATCGGAACTGCCAGGCTGAACTGCTAAATGAGCTTATTTATTCAAAGTGGTGGACTTTGAGGTTTTTACAGTCTCTACTACGAGAGAAAGCTCGTTGGTAAAAAGAACATGGCACATGTATGTATGTGTATCAGCGATGCGCACAGAGAGCCTTTACTCTGCACGCGCCTATACAAAATGTATAGAAAGCTTAAAAGAGCTTTGCCCGCGGGCAAGGAAGTGCTGTACATTTATTCTGTACAAGGCGATTGAGAGAATATGAGAGTAAAGTGATTTGCTGATGCTAATGCTACATGCTTCAGGGCGCTAAAGAAACTAATAATTGTAGACAATGTGCGAAAATTTGAATTAAGTATTTGGCTTTACGTTAAAAAATAATTCCTCCACCAAAAAGGCCAAAAAATTTAGAAATAAATATAGTAACTTTAAAATATGTACCTACATACAATTTTTGCAAGCCTCTTAAAAATTTTTTCAACTTATCTTACACAAATAAAAAGTATTTCATGATCATTGCCACGCCAGCATAAACAGAAGCTATTCATCATTAAAAAAGTAGAAAAATAAAAATATCAATTCAAAATAATAAATATCAATTCAAAAAAATGTACTGTACAGTAGACGTTATATGTTGTAAGTATGTAAGTAATATGACCTTAAATAAATGTAATATAAAATTGTTTATAAGCCACTGTGGTATTTATGGAGTCTTACTGACTTGAAATTTGATTAACTTCTGAGCAGCTCCAAATCCTTATACATATATGGTAATACACATAGACGCATACATAAGTACATATGTATGTGTGTGCCTGTAGTTATATGGCTGCAATAAGTGAGCACATACATTTTTATGTTGCACATTGCGCCTTTAATTTATAAATCAACTGTAATTAAAATTCAATTAACAATTTATTGTTTAAGTCAAGTACATTTTTTATTGCCAAGGCCAAGCAGGCAAATATGTAGAGCCAACCGCCAACCAATATTTGCCGATGATGATGCATACAAACATACATAAATAATTAAAATATTTGTTGGCGAAGTTGGTGCGGCCCTGTGCCTGGCTGTACCTAATTATTTGCCACCTGAGCCTTGTAATTGCATTCAAATACATAATTCCTACACATACACATACAAACACATTTAAACATACATAAAAGTACATCTATAAATTATGTTTAAGTAAATAAGTAGCTATAAACACCCATATGTACATACATACCTAACTACAACCATACATACAACAAACAACTAAATGCATTTAATGTAAGAAAGTTAATAAAGCAGTAAAGTTTTTGCAAATGCTGTAAAAAATGACGATTCGTTTACTGATTATTTAGATATTTTTGCCATAAACGTTTGAATAATTCAAGGACGTGAAGGTGCTTAAATTTTTTAATGTCGAAACTTGTGTGACTGGGCACATCTGTAGATTGTACCCATACATATGTACATAGTTACATGTATGTACATTAGACCGGGTCTATTTTTGCGAAAAAAACACTGCGACATCCACTTTCTGCCAAAAAAATAATAATTTTTTCTAAACTGCCTTGCAAAAATACCTACTTTGAGACTCAGTGCGTGCTGCGAACTTTTTTTCTGCTACGGTCTGATATACATACATATGTACATACATACGTATCGGTCATATCTATAGCACGCCATTTCCAAGTGATATTGTGTGCCCCTTATGTTTATTTATTTCTTTTTAAGAAGTTTCAATTAAAATTTAGTTCATTCTCAGACAAACCCCATATATACCCAGTTCAAATTTTCACCTAAATTTGCAACTTTTTTCCCGGAAGTGTTAGAGTTTTTTGAGTAGACAGTTTTTTAGCCCCTGCAATTTTTGTCTGATAATGTGCAAATTTCAACTGGCTACGAATTACCGTTAATTTTTTAGAATTTTTTTTGTCGCATTGGCTTCCATATAATGAATAAACTTCATTTATTTGTATATGGAAGGAAACCGCAACACCTTTGGCGAAAAAAATTCTAAAAAATCAACGGTAACTTTTAGGCACTTGGAACTTCCACATTATCAGACTAAAATTGATCGGGCTATAAAACTGTGTATTCAGAAAAATTCAAACACTTCCGAGAAAAAAGTTTGAAACTTAGGTGGAAATTTGTTGCACTTTTTTGTAGTTTTCTACAAATTTTTAAACTTGGGTTTATATGGCTTTTGTTAGAGAAAGAACTGTATTTTAATTGAAAATTCTTAAAACTAAATTGATAAACATAAGTGGCACACAATATCACTTTGAAATGGCGTGCTATAGATATGACCGATACTATATATAAGAGTAAATTTTTTAACCTTCAAAAAACCCCGAAAAAGGCAATGTGGGGGCCAATAAGTATAAATAAAAAAATGTTAAATAAACAATTGGGTATTACTAGTGAGAGTCTTCTGAAGATAACCAGAGTTTTGCGATCGAAAAATATTCAGGGGGTGAAAGCATTAAAATTCCGACTTTACTCCTTTTGGACCACCCTATTGTACATACAGTATATGTAGCAGAAAGGGACGCGGCAGTTGTAGCCAATTAATTTGCCTCCCAACTCCTTCGTATATATCCTGTCGAGAACTTGGATTCGTGCTATTGGAGTCGCTGGTAATCGAAATCATAATTAAATTCCTGCGAATATATGTAAGTACATACACCGTAATATTTTGACAAAAAAAATTCTAAAATGTGACAAAAAAGCAAACAAAATAATGTTCGGAGAAGCTTTTCAATGGTCCTAAAATTCTTGGAAGGGAAAAAATATACTGCAAACCTACGCCACAAAATAAATTAATTAAAATTTTTTTTATTAATTTTCTTTACAAAAGTTCTTGAGTTTTTGTAAAGGAAACATATTGTGCAAAATTAGGCCAACACATTTTTTTCCAAAAAGTCGAAAAATATTTAATGTTTGGAAAAAAAAAAACAAATAATGTTTTGGGTGGCTTTTCAAAAGTTCTACAATTCCTAAATGGAAAAATAAAGTTTTCCGAAATCACGACGAAAACAATTTTTTTAAGTGAAAAAATTGTATGTTTGAAAAAAGAAAAATAGTGAATAGCTTTTCAGCAGTTCTAGAGTTTTTGAAAGGGAAAAAAAGTTTTGCAAAATTAGGGCAGAAAAAATTCTCAAAAAAATTTAAAAAGTGAAAAAAATTAATGTTTGAAAAACAACATATGTTTAAAAAAAATAATTGCTCCTTTGTGTAGCTTTTCATTAGTTAAGGAAACAAGAATTCTGCAAAATTAGGCCGAATAAAAGCATTTTTCCATAAAGTCGAAAAAATGTAATTCAATTTTTAATAAAAAAATTAAAGCTGTTCTAAATTAAAGCTGTATCTTTTCTAAGGCTCTAGAGTTCCTGCAAAGGAAACACAATTCTGCAAATTTACCCAAAAACATTTTTTTTTTTCAAACAAGTCAAAAAACTTAATGTAGAACAACAAAAAACTGTTTGGAGGAGCTTTTCAAAGGCTTTAGAGCGTCTGAATAGAAAAAAGTTCTGCAAAAGGTGGCCTTAGTGCAACTTGCCTTCAGCACGAACTCTAGAGGTATCGAAAAGTTACTCAGAACAGTATATTTTTTCAAAAATTTAACTTTTTAGACTTTGGAAAATTGTTTAGCGCAATTTGGCACAATTTTTATTTTCCATTTCAGGAGCTTTAGAACTATTTAAAAGCTGTTCATTTCAGTTTTTATTTTATTTTTTTAATCATTAAATATTTGTGACTTTTTTTTAATATTTTATTCGGCGTAATTTTGTCAGAACGTTTTTTCCTGTTCAGAAACTGTTGAACTATTGTAAGGCTTTTCATAACAAGTCTCATTTAGTTTATTTCTAGCCTAAAATTTTTAATTTTTTTTTCGGCGTAATTTTACAAAGCTTTCTCATTCCTTTACAGTAACTATTACAGCACTACTCAGAACATTTTTTTCTTTGCCTCTTTGCGACATGTCGTACTATGCTGAATGAAGCTTTTATTTTTTCTTTTCAGGAACTCTAGAACCTTTAGAAAGGTAACCATAACAGTTTTCTTGTGTCTTTATAGAATACTCCGTATGTCAACTTTACAGGCATTGTCCATGACTTCGCATGGATTCGAAAAACGCCTTTAAGGTTAACAAAACAAAAAAAAATCATTTAAAAAAATAATAGATTTTTCACATACGCTATTAACTCGAAGTCACATCGGGTTACACATTTGGCTTCCGCCAGCAAATTTACTTGTAAAGAGAGAGCAAAGCACTCCTGTCAAAACAGCACAAACTTTACTCGAATTTTTAATACTCGATATATATAATTTTCAGATATATTTTTGTTACCGTTATAGACAACGTCATCGCAGGCGTTATTGATATCTTAAGTGTCAGATATCATTATCGAGCTCACAAACTCACAAACGTTAACTTTGCACAACATATCTTTACGATTTAATATACACTTAACTTATAAGTATATAGCTATTAAAGGCTTAACAAGTTTTTCGAATTTTAATAGTAGAGGTACATTTTTACACAACCATAAAGCAAAAGATGTTTTCTTTAAAAAATATTTACGACATGCATATTTATGTATGTTTGTATGTAATAAAATTTTTCTTAAAAGGCTCAGCAATAGATAATTTTTTATACTACCTTTTATGTACATCTGTGAATATTTATATACGTATATGTACACATATAAACTTCCACTTGTTTATGTGTATATGTGTGTAAATTAGGGTAGTCCAAAAATGTATGTGAAAAGGTAAAGTCGAATTTTTTATGCTCTCACCCCCTAGGATTGCTTTATACCGAATAGAAATATACCCCTATTTTTTTATTTTGAAATCAAAAAATGTTTAGAGGTCGCTCAAAGCGCCCAAAATTTTGCACGTATTTTATATGGGGAAGAAACAACTTTTTGTAGAAATGGTATAGAATTCTTAAGAATCAATATTTTTCTATCGAAAACTATTTTCATCTGCAGAAGATTCCCAATAATAAAACCCCATTGTTTATTTAACCATTTATTCATCGCAACTAATATAGGTCCGTCAAAAACCCACAAAACCCCGAAAAATGCAATGGGGGACAAATAAAACATCATTAGTATTAAAAAATGTTTAAATAAATAATTGGGTATTATTATTGAAAGTCTCCTGAAGAGAACCAGAATTTTCAGATTGAAAAATATTGATTTTCAAGAATTCTATACCATTTCTATGAAAAGTTGTTTTTCCCCCATAAAAATACATGGAAAACTTTGAGCGCTTTGAGCGACCTCTAAATATTCTTTGATTTCAAAATAAAAAATATGGGTATAATTTTTTTTGGATATAGCACAATCCTAGGGAGTAAGAGCATTACAATTCCGACTTTACTGTTTTTGGACCACCCTAATATACATTTATATGTACATTAAATCGTACCACCTTGCAAGCAAAGACAAACACACCTGAGAGCAAAGTGTTTTTTCAAGGCAATTTTAAAAATTTTAACATATTTCCTTGACACCTTGACACGGTAAGTACTAGAACGTTGTACTTGAAACAAAAAAAATTCTCCTCGAGACGAAGCCGAAGATATAATGAATAAGCAGGCGACCCCTACGTTCGCCCAAAATATTTTTTTGGCGATATTGCCTTGCAAAAATACTTTAGACTAGTTTGGTGCAGTCTAATGTAGGTACATATGTATACTATTACTAAAGCTTGGTAAACAATTTAGCATTTGAACTTGTGTGTATGTACATAAGGCGGGTCTAAAATCAATTTGGAGTTTGCCAAATTGCGAAAATAGGTTTCTTAGCATTTTGCTCTAGCGTCGTAAAGAAGTGCTTAAATTTTGTACAAAAACGTGCTATTTGGGGGCTCTTCGAATGAGGAATCCAGTTCTGCAATTATCTTTTTCTTAAAATTTCCAACAGAGGCCGTAGCAGTGAAAATTTTTAAATTTTCTTCAAAAGATATTTTCGCAATTTGGCAAACTGCAAATTGATTTTAGACCCATGATTTTTTCGGAAAATTCGCTTGGAATTAGACGTGGAAATCACCAACGCTATACGCGCATAGTAAAAAAAAATTGACCCGCCCTAACGTACATACATATATACATTCATATGTACATACTTCGACTATCGCCTGTCGTCACCTGGGAAAATCGCTTGCATTCTTTTGTATTTCACTGCCTCAGCTTATAGTTAGTTCACTGCTTGTAAAATATTTCCATAAAACTTTTATTAGAAAATAAATATAAAATAAACAAGGACAAGCTTGACATACAGAC